TGTAACCAGAGCTTCCAGATGAAGTTCCTACATGATCATATGAAGCACTGACAAATGATGTATGCTTACTATTGAATCCATATGTATTGTGAATACTATCACTGGTACAAGGTTCTGTTCCTTTCCCATGATTAAGAGGGCTGGCAATGGAACCCATATTTAAAGCAGCATCCTGGGTTCCATGGTTGGAGCTGGAACCTTGCAAGAAGAAAGGCTGAACTCTGGGTTGATTTCCACATAGGTTGGCATTCGAGTTACCAGGGAAAGTTACATTATTTGGATCAAATTGCCGTTCTTCTGGTCTGAGAACATCCTCAGCAGAAGCACCACATGAAGAAGACCAACCATGTTCTGCTTTTAGCCCATCATTATTGACGTGACTGTGAAGATTCATAGTAGAACTAGGTTCACCAGCATTCCATCCATCAAAGTTCTGAACATCAGGAGCACTGTTGCGTAAACATGCAGTCTCACCAGAGGATCCCAGAAAATCTGACAACCGAGCATCAACTGGATTTTGCATGTGATTCAAGGAAGTCTGCTGATTTATATCAGTGCCACTAGAACTAGGTTCCTGCATCATACTTACAATTGCTGGAAAGGAACCAAGAGTCCTTCTGTTACCTTGCATCGGAATTCAAGCTATCCAACCTGATTTACCAGATAATCAGCTTCTCAACTTTCAAATTAATCAATGGTGCGCCCAAGATCACAGAAATAACCTGCACAGAACACCTTTGGCATTGAAGCAAACTTGTACAAGTTTTACCAGGCACAAAAATATGTAGATTTCTTTTCCAGTGAAAGTAAAGCACAGACAAATCTTAAAACAAGAGAATGAAAAACAATATTGTCATAAAATTGCTTCAGCAACATCATTTATGAGATAAAAAATTTCACAAAGCCATGGTATATTCTTTCGACAAATAATATCTATTTGAGATCCCAGTACATGCAACAGGAAAAATAAACTCAAATAAAAAGATAAGAGTGAAAACAAATTTGTCACAAGCAGGTTGTCACCGATGAACAATAACAAGCCCTATCACCTACATGACTTATCACTAATAAAGTCTATAAGAAATTGGCAAGTCAATTGCTGGGGCGCTCCTGATTTTCCATAAAGATATCTAGGAGGGAAAAACGGAAACCATAAAACAAAGTCTGGCCTTATATGAAACGACAATGAATAAACTATTGAGGATGCTTAAGATAGGAAAATGATATGGATAGAGATACTAGATCTCTCATTGTGCTATTCACAAGCTCAGAAACCTGTAAAAACAACTTGGCTTCCTATTTTCTGGGTGTAAATTTTATACTCAATGAAGTTAACAATAAGAGCCTTGGAATGAACGAGAAAAATAAAAAAGCGTCTCGATGCATATCTTTTGCTCACCACATTCCCACCTACACCATCGATGCAACAGTAAATGTCAGCAACTTTAGGCAAGACATACTAAGATAATATATAAGGTTGCCAATAATCACAAGGGAACAACAACCACGCCGAGATCGCCCAGAAAATTAAGAAGTGAAGCTTCGCAATGGTCAATTCTAGGTTTTCGGAAATCCAATGTAACCAGCAGACACGTCAAATCCAGCAGCGAAATAAAACTTTCCAGATTCAAACCGCAAGCAGCAGAAATGAATCGAACTTCGAAGATTCCCCAGAAAATACAGTATGGCTTCGGATCAATTGTATATCCCAGAAAAAGGGGAAAAATAAAAGGGGGGCAAACTTAAGGGCTAAAACCTAGCGGCTCGATGCGATCCCTCCACGCCAAAACAAGGAAAGGGATAAACCTCCTAATAGAGAACGCAATCCACACCTCTTTCTCGGGGAAAAAGCAGCATTATCAGAGAATCATCGTGATGAGAACAAGCATTCGCGAAGAAAAATTGAGTCAGACGGAAGCAAATGCAATAGAGAGAGTCTGAAAAGGGCGGATTACCTGAAGAGGATAACGAGAATCCAAATGGGTCAAGCAGAAACGCCTCCGCTTCTGCTTTTTCTCTCCGATTCTTCCCCCACTCAAATTTTGGTATTTTTATCATCACAGAAGAAGCTGATCAGAAGGCGACAAATGAGAAAGCCATGAATGAAAAAATAAGGGTGGAAGCGAGGAAGTGAGAGATTAAAGGGCAGAGAGAGAGAGTACAAGCACAGTAATCCTAATATCTAATTTAAGATTTCATTCATTTCACATAGAGAGAGAAGGCCATTGCCCATTGGGTTCGGTCCTGAGGGGTGGCCTCACAGGCGCCATTGATCGTACACGTAGCTCGCATGAGCCCATGTGGGCCCCACGTGAGGTGAAATTTCATAGCGCTGATTGTGAAGCTGGCGTTTCTTTAGATTCAGAATATTCGCCCCAACCTCCCATGCCATGCCCGTCCCTTCCGCAGAGTGAGGAAAATAAGGATTAAACGTTTCACAAAAAAACAAAAAAAAACACGCACACACACATATATCTGTGTGTGTGTTTTAGATGGATAAGTAAATAATTATAAGACCCAATTGACTTATTTGAGAAGATTAAAGAAGTAAGTTAAGTTTTATTTATAATAAATAAGTGTTGTCATTCCTAAAATATCCTTACTAATTAAGTATATTGACTAAAACTATCATTATTAGAAGGATTATCTTGGAAAAAAATGCATAAATATAAGAGACAAAATGGATTGGGTCTTATAATTAGGACCAAATAAAAAATCAAATTGGGTCTTATAATAAGGACCGGAAGAGTATTAGATACGTCTGAAGTACCAGAGAACGACGCCAAATGACCCCGGCTGACAAGGCAAATGGACAAAAATATATTGATATATATATTATTTGATTGATAAGGTTGTAAATCCGGAAAATTGAATTACAAAATTTGGAAGATTCGTTCGCAGAAATTAAGAGATTGGTTGCAAATTAATTGTGTAAGTTATAAAAGGGTTATAAATATCAGAAAACTCAAGTGTAAAAATTATAAAAAATGAAAATTCAATGGTAGAAACTGAAAGATCAAGTAAATAAATTTTTTAAAGTGTTTGAACAATCATTTTCAATAAAAAAATTTCTTACTGTTTACAATTGTAATTTCAATTTTTTTTCAAGAAAGCATTCAAACTCAACAAATATTATACAAATTGCAGTTGATTTATAATTATTCTTTCAATATTCACACCCGAATCTTCCAGTTTTTATAATTGAATTTCTTTTTATTTACAAATTTTTACAATTTACAGTGATGTACAGCTAATCTTTTGACTTGAACGACTAAAATATTCAATTTTATTATTAAGATTATGAGAATGGCATTTTTGTTTATTTATTGGCCTGACCTTAATCTTTCGTGTAATTTCAGAAAAAGGCTATCAACAAGGCCCAAGGGGATGCAGGCCCAAATATAAAGTTCTATTTAACTTTTGTCTTTTGGGCCTCCCCCTAACAAATAAATAAGTTCGCGTCGAGTCCCACTCAACAACCCTGGGTTTGATGCCCAGCCCATGTTGATCTCCAGAGTATTTATCAACCTGAGGTCCCTAAGTGGGCTTATTGGGCCAATGAACACTTCTAACCTGATATAGCATGTGTGTTACAAGAATACTTAACCCCTTTTTTTTTATCAATAACAAAATACAATTTTTCAAAATACAAGTATTAAAATGGAACAAATATTTGAAAAAAGTTGGTGAAGCAAAGTAAGTGAGTTACAAGCAATTGTAAATAGCCATTTAAATATATTGTTTAGGATTGTAGATTTGGGGGCATTTTATATATACTTGGTCAATTTTAGTACTCTCCTGGTATTTAATATAGGACCTAATTGTAGAGTTGATTTTGGTCCTAAATATAAGAACTATTTCTTATATCTATCAATTTTTTTCAAATTATCCCTAATGATATTCCCTTAACCATAATCAAATATGAGAAGGAGGGAGGATATAATGAAGACGATTAAGGTATTTTAAGAAAAATATATCATATTTATTATAATTAACTAATTTATCAAATTCGTTTAGTCTAATCAAATTAAACTAATTTATCAAATTTTTTTAATCTAATCAAATTAGTTAAATATATCTTATATTAAGGACCGAGAGAGTATTTAGTTAACTTTGGCCACATGGTTTAGGTACTTGGAAGCTGGATACTTATAACATGTGATTATGTTTTGGATTGGAGATCTAATTTGGAAATACTGTTGTGCATTGTTGGATTTTAGATTTGTTTCGATTTATATGAATTTTGGATGTATTATAATTTTGTTGTGAATATGATGCAAGATAATGCTTGAAAAGCAGCCTTTATGTATTTTTAAAAAATAGCACAAATATTTAATGATTATATGGTATAATTGTCAAGTATTTAGGCAAACCAGCAAAATGGCCAAAACTAAGCATTAATATTTCACGATTATTTGAGGCTTTTTATTTTCATAAAAAAAATAGCAAGTAAAAGAAACAAAGCTGAGTTTAGAAAAGGCATGATAGTCAAATTATTACTATTAGTTTTCTTTTCCTTTTCTTTTCATACAAAACAAGCTGGTAACCAATTTCCTCCCTCCATTGAAATCAAATAGACCTTTATAGATGGATGAATTTTCCTAATAATCATGTAATAAAAATATTAAACACGAATAATTATATTAAATTTTACGGTAAGGTACTGAAGTCATAAATTTGACTAAACATAACAGGAAAACATAAAAATATCTGGGTAAGTTTTGTTGAGGTTGTAAAGAGGGGGAATGCAAATGGTAACGAGGGTTACGTCTCATTAAGAAAGAAATCACACGTGCGAATAGAATCTTCCAAAGCCTGCAATTCACTGACGTCCATCCAAAAATGGAAGTTTCATCAAAACGAATGAATACATAGGACTAATCAAAACGCCAGATGTGTCCCTGTATTTCGCTCTTTACTGATTCACCATTATCCCCATTCCTCGATTTCCGAAAATCCTAAACCAAAGAAAATCCCACACTCCCCGACAAAAAGCCGCCATGGAATCCCGCAAATTGGCAGCTTTACTTTCTTCTCTCATCTCTCAGCTTCTCCTTCTCATCCTCCTCCTTTTCCCTTCCTTTTCTTCTGCTCCTTCTTCTTCCTCAGATTCCAATCCCCCCTTCAATGCCTTCCCTCTCGTCCAATACTTTCTTTTGTCCCAAGAGATCGCCGCTTCTCTCTCCTTCTCCAAGAACAGGAAACGCAAGCGGGTCGACCCAGAATCTGACCCGATTGATGAGCACCCGCCGGGTGGGATTGGAATTGGGGACGTGGTTCGGAGCCCTGACTCGTTCAGGAGCTGTTTCAGAATGACGGCGTCTACCTTTGAATGGCTCTCTGGTTTGCTGGACCCATTGCTGGAGTGTCGCGACCCCGTAGAGTTGTTCCCTCTGAATCTCTCATCCGGTGTTCGGCTTGGAATCGGCTTGTTTCGGCTCGCAAACGGTTCCGATTACGCTGAAATTTCGAGCCGATTCGGGGTTTCCGTGTCGGTAGCGAGGTTTTGCGTGAAGCAGTTGTGCAGGGTTTTGTGTACCAATTTCCGATTCTGGATTGCGTTTCCGAACTCGCACGAGATTGAAACTGTATCTCGAGGTTTTGAAGACATCTCTGGGTTGCCCAATTGCTGTGGCGTGATCGACTGTGCAAGGTTTAACGTAGTCAGTTCTGAAACATCGTGTGAAGATAAAATAGCGGCACAGATAGTGGTCGATTCCTCGAGTCGGATTCTGAGCATTATCGCTGGGTTTCGTGGCCATAAGAGCAATTCAAGAATCATCAGGTCGTCCACTTTTTACAGAGATATTGAAGAAGGGAAGCTTTTGAACTCGCCAGCCATTGACATAGACGGAGTGGCTATAAATCAGTATTTGATAGGAGATTCCAGTTTTCCTTTTCTCCCATGGTTGATGATTCCTTTTGCTGAATCTCTACCTGGTTCATATGAAGAGAATTTCAATTCTGCTCATAAGCTTATGCGCATTTCGGCTCTTAGAACTATTGATAGTTTGAAGAACTGGGGCATTCTGAGCCGACCTATAAAAGAAGAACTGAAGATGGCAGTGGCTTATATTGGTGCTTGTTCTATACTGCATAATAGCTTGTTAATGAGGGAGGATTTTTCTGCACTTTCCGGTGGGCAAGACTACCAATTTCAGAATCTGAGTATTAAAGATTCTAGATCGGAGGAAAATTCAAATACTATGAATGCTTGGATTGTAAGAAGTGCATTGGCTACAAGAGCCAAGAAAAGCAATGGTTCAAGTACATAATGGACCTTTGATGATTTCATCAGGAGACAACAAAAAAAGGATTGGTAAATGGGGACATGTGATTGAATTCATTTCTTCATTTTACGTTCTTTTTTAAAATAAATTTTCAAAATTATCACAGAAAGTAGAATCAAGAGATTCTTTCTACTATTTTTCTCCCAGTTTTCATGTACTTTTGGTTGGAATTAATGACGGGTAGAAGGTTGTCATTCATGAGTTGATTTCAGTTTTGCAGATTACATTGTTGTTAGAGTGCACTCGCAAATGTAAATACTATCTTCTGAGCATGAATAAGGTTGACTTTTCCTGTTAATCACAAATCGTTCTCCTTTTTAGCTTCTCATCTACATAATCTCTGCGTCTGGGTGATAAGTAGACATTGATACTTTGATGAACCTCTATTTTCCTTTTTCCTTTTTTCTTTTTTTTGGCTTTAGCATCAACGCTGATGAAACTATTTAGTTTTATTATGGCTCCCGGAAAGCAACATTAAAAAATCATTGAGCTAGCTGTGAACCCATGGATTGTTTTATGATGGCATTCTTTTGATGAACCCCACCTACCCCTATTTTTGTTTTTAGTACATGGGGAATGTAACAGGACAAATGCTGTTCTTCAATGCTTCTATTCAGTATATGATACTATAACTACAATTTTTGGAGCTATAGTTTTCTTTAGAAAACGTTACCTTCATAGGATACCTTAATGAAACAATGTGTATATCTGGGAACAAGACCATGGACAGAGCAAAATGATTCAGACAAGATATTTGAAGGTTTCATTAGTTTAATTTTCGTTTCATGTTGGTCTTATCATCTGCATTTCTAAACAACAGTAAAACAGTGCAGTGCCTCTGAACAAAGGATGCTTCTTGTCTATGGCTCTAGGTTCTTGTAACTCACCGAAGACTGGGGCTTTAGTTTCTTTTTACATTCAAGCTCAAAAACTTGTGCGCAAGTTAATTGGACTGTGTGGCATTAAATGACGATGCTCATTTTCACTTGAAAGACTGATTAGAATTGCCATTTTGCCACAGCTTCTTGTGATCAAAAATTCAAAATAGTCTGCAATAGTAGCTGATTTTTATAAATTTTTTTTTTGGCCAAAATTCAATACTAGCCGTTTGCTGATCGACATGTTGAGTTCAGTCTTCCCCATGTTGGCTGAATTGATATATCAGTTTTTCTGCATCATCATGGCTGTGTGTTCTGTATTGAAACTGAGAACAAGTGAGCTCAATGTGTATGTGGGCGATTATAGTTGAAGTTCCAAACTGCAGTTAGATGCTGATGATGATGAGCTCAGAATATTTGCCCCATTCACCGTCAAAATTGCGTGTCGTTATTATATTTGATGTTCCAAAATCATGTGGTGTTAATTAATTACAAAGGATGAACATCCTTGCTGGGGAAGGGATGGCACAGAATCTTGATGCTTCTGTAGTTTTGCTGCCGTGAGGAGTAGGGAAACTTGGTTGAGTATGATGGTACTAGCTAGAGCCATAATTGATTTTACAAAAAGCAATTATTAATGTTGTTTGGTAAGATCCTCATATTCCAGAGCAACTGAGGGTGCAACTACCAAAGGTTTATTAATTGAATGGGGGGTGTACGAATCACAAGGGACAAGAAATTAAGGCTTTTATCTGTAGCAGTGAAGAAGGAATATATGATGTGTGGCGTGTTTGGTTCCTCAGGAGCAAAAATGCAACAGATGAACAACCACAATTGTTGACTAGTGAGTAAGATGTCGGCTCATAACCCATAAGATTGTGAGTTCGAATCCGTCTGCCGATGTGAGAATCTTGTTGGTGGGTGATCTCTAAGTACCTCTGCAAGCGTTCTTTAAGCCTGGAAGCATGCCCTAGTATTGGTTAGTTCCCAAGACCCAACTCACCTAAACTTTTTTGTATCAAAAAAAAATTATTAACCAGTGATTATGCTTACATGCTTCAATATCTCTTCGTAGCTGCAGGAGTCGTTGTGGCCGTCCAGTCCTAAGGATTATAGCGTCACCAAAACAAACTACCTTCCTTCTTTTTAAAAGACAACGTTGTACAAAGTCACATTCACGTTATTTTCTTATTTGTGTGCGTGTGAGAGAGAGAAGAGGGATTGTATAAATTTAGTTCATGGACAAATTACGTGACATATCATTCATAATTACTAACATCGTTAATTAATACAAGAACTAATTTGATATTTAATTTGATTTTAAATATAAAACTTCAATTCATTTTATCTATCATTTTTATTTATTTTTTTCAAAATAATCATTATAGTAGTTACATATATTAAAATTTCTATCAAATTGTAGTTCTAGCTAATACTTAATTATTAAAGGTATTCTAAAAAAATATTTATTTATTGTAAATAACTAACTTAACAAACTTTATTAATCTATTTAAATTAATTAACTAGTTCTTATATCAACGAACACAATTATTATATCCAAAGAGCGCAAGGAGTTTATGACTACTAATTCATAACTTTTTAATTGACCCGAATAACTCATAAGTCATTATTAAATGGCTTAGCTTGTTTATGAAATTTAGTCTATCTATATTTTTTCTGCCAGAGAATAATACATTGCTTGCATGGCCACACGTTATATCTCTGTTGTTGCGTGACATGTAATTAATTACTAATTAATAATATAATATCAATTGCAATGTGTCTTTTGAACACTAAATGTATATAGTTCGTAGTTTAAAAAAAAAAAAAAGAATATTCACGGTATGCTATTTTGCTTTACGTTTTCAATCATTAAGCCAAACTTAGGGACTTAAAACATGACAGAGAATTATAAGGATATTATATAAATATACTTGCCAAAGCATTATAAATTACTAATTAGTAGCAATTATTTTAAGGCAGAAAGAGTACGATATGGTAGTGGGTTAAATTGATTTGGCAAGAATGTACTTTTAACTTTATACAAGATTTTGTTTTGATTCATTAGTTTTAAAAAATTTACTTTCAGTCTTCCATCTTATAATCCTTAGTTTTGAATAATAATTTTTTTTTAGCAGTTATTGCTCATTTAAAAATCAAACTTTATTTTTTATTGATATTTAAAATTTTGACGTCGTCAATTCTTTATCAAAGGTATTAGAATTAAATAACGGAAAAGATTTTTTTAAAAGATAAAATAAAACTTTATATAATATTAAAGCATAAAAATGCCCTTCTGTCCATTGGTTTTGATGAGGCGGAGATCACAAAGTAGTAATATATTATGACACAGTGAAGGAGCGGGCAAATCGAGGAAAGAGAACCATTCTGATTGGCTGGCTCCTTCACTTTATATCCTTTGCTTTTCCTAATTTTTCTTAATTTTACTTTTCTTTTTAATTTCTTTTTGACCTTTTTCATTTTCACAAAAAAAGAAAAAAGAAAAAGGGGGAATGTTATTAACCAGACAGACCAATAATACCATCACAGGATCATTTCAAAGGAAGACCTACAAAGAATAAAAGACGCAAGATCAAATCTTAAACCAAAAAAAAAAAAAAATTCAAAACAGATTTGTTTTTCTAAAAACTCACATATAATAGAATTAGACTTGGTCAATTTTTTTTTTTGACTTAGACTTGGTCAATTAAAATGTGTATTATTCGTATAGAGAATCTTTCGATTGAGAAGATTCAACGACCTAAAAGAAAAATAAAATAAAATTTGTCTATTTTATTTAGTTATTCAATTATTATTTGTTTATGCAGTTAGCGATAACAACATTATCACTTTCAATTAAATACCCAAACGCCGCGTATCCATTTATCTTTGGCTCCAACCGCCTCATTTCATTATTCTTCACCGACTCCCGATTTTTATTTTTGAAATGTTTATTTTGCTTGTCCTTTTTTTAAATGACTCGGCCACATTTTAATTAAATATTTATATTTATTTTTTTAAAATTAATTCCCTCCACCCATAAACTAATATGTAATATAATGATACATAAAATTATATAAGTATTTTAAATAGATCAAGTATAATATATACTATAATTAAGCAAGTAATTTAATTTTTTTAATCGATCTAAATTTTTATATTAAGAACTCGAGATAATATGTTTCAATCAAGAAAAACTTTTGACTGATTTTTTAGCAATTTGTCATCGATCTGTTAAATTACATTATGGCATATGAAATATGAAGGAGAACTTCTGAAAGGACTAATAACACCTATGCAACTTGAAAATTCGCTTAATATACGTTAGTATTACTCTTTTAATCTTAAATATAAGACTTTTATACATATTAATATAAGGGTTTTATATTTAAGACCGGAGGAGTTTTTTTTGGCCGAATATGGTATTATTTTTAATCACAAAATTTGGCAACAAATAAAACGAAGTTTCCATTTTTGTCCTTTAATTAACATATCTCATTGACTAAAAACAAAACGTCTTTCTCTAGCAGATGAGTCCTACTACAACAGACCCACCAAAACCCAACGAAAATCCTATAAAATATTTGAACAGTATCAAATAAATTAATAAAAACTACAAAATCATTAAAAATTAATTTCTATTGTTAGAAATTTCCAAAATGCAAATAACTTTAGCACACAGTTTGTATCAAGCTCAAATTGTAGAAGAAAGGGAGGAAAATAATTTAAGAAAAAAAAACGGAAAAGGTGAAATGCCGAGGAAGTTCTTAATTTCGTCGTTAGTCATTAATCATTCTTAAAAACGATATTGCTTGCATGAAGCCATGACGAGAAAGTCCTTTAGCACGAAACTGAAAGCAAGGAGAAAGAAGACAAAAATGATTGAGCTGAGTGTGAGAATAAAAAGTAGAAGAATATTCATATTTTAGATTAAAAAAAGCATGTATTCAACGTTTTACCCTGACACACCCACAATATCATATATGTCTGTTGCTACTTGCTAATATCCTCTTCCAGTTTTTAATATAGGAGTCAATTAGGAAATTAATCTTGATCTTATATATAAGATTTTTTATAAGTTTATTAGTTTTTTTTTCAATTAATCCTATTGATATTTCTTCAACAATAATCAAGTGGGAGAGAGAGATTAAAGAAGAAGCTTATGGTGTTTTAAAGAAAACATATCATATTAAGTAATTTAACGACCATTTAATATACTCAAATTAGTTAATTAAATCTCATATATGAAGGATTGGAGGAGTATCATTTTCCTTTCTTACTTTAATTTTTCCTTTATTGTTTCTTAAAAGCACTCATTCTTAATTAATGTATTATTTAAAATGAGTGATACAGTAAAGTTTGTAATACTTTCTTCAAAATATTCTTATTAATTACAAGGAGTTTTTTTAATAGATAATTTTAATGTACATGATTAAATATAGTATAATATAAATATGGTAGTTTATAAAAACTAATATGTATTTGTTATAACTAACGAATTTAACCAACTTTCTTAATAGTTTTAAATTAATCATCTAACTTCTATGTTAAGTAGTGGACATAATATTTGTTTTCTCTCAAATCTTTCTGTTTATATAAAATTTTAATAAGATGCACTAACAAACTTATTAATTTTAAATCATAAATCATTTGAAGACTCTTAAGATAAGACATTACAAAAAAAAAAGTTTCACAAATAATAAAATATGATAGATGTTATATATTTTCTTTTCGAAAAAACTAAAATGAATTTTATAACCTATCTCATTGGAATTTCTTCCTCTTGTTTATGCAAAATGAGTGATAGGAACCTTATTACTGAAGTCAAGGACGCATTTCAGTTCCGCTTAAACTATTGGAGGCAGCATCACAATCACATTAATCCACGAACAACGAAGGATCATCGATTTTTCAACATAGCCAACTCTTCCAATGTAATAATATTCCTCCCCACCTTAATAATAATGCCCACCAACCTTCTTTCCTTTCCTTCACTCCTTCATGAGTTTTATATTTTTTTTTCAAAGAAAATACATATGGGTTTACCCATTTTTTTAACAGGTCCACAAATTTTTTATACTAAGTCATGAATATATATTAGTTAGATATAATTAATTAAATTACTTCACTTTGTTTTGAATCTCACCAACCCCCAACCAACTTCAATCCTTATTCTGACCAGGAACCACACGGTTTGGGACCCACCCGACCAATGCACTTCCTTTTTATTTTTCTGGCCAAAAAATTGTACACGCATGTTGCCTGCAGCTTCCCCTACCGCTTGACTTCAAAAATAAAAAGGAAAAGAATTAAAAAAAAGAAGAAATTGTAAATAAAGACCCCTCAATATATAAAATTATAATTTGGGACTCTCAATTTGAAAAATAGCAAATAAGAACTAGGTTTTACTTTTACAAATATGAAATATGGGTAAAATGTCTGAAATGTTCTTCAATCAAATTGTGATTTGGTCTACTGAAATTGTCATTCACTAAAATGAACTTATCATTTCTCATAGTTAACTTGTTATTTAGTATACCTTCAGTCAAGTTGTGATTTGATCTAATGATATTATCATTCGTTGAAGTGAATTTGCCATTTTTCATAGTCAACTTATCATTTGGCTAAAGAGTATTTTAAACATTTCACCACGATTTCATAGTTACAAAAGTGAGACCAAGTCTTTATTTGTTATTTTCTAAATTAAGAATCCTAAATCATAATTTTATATATTGTGAGGCTTTTATTTGCAATTTTCTCTTAAAAAAAACGTAGCATGCTTTTTTGGACCGCAAACAGAAGGAAGGAACAACCAATAATTGGAGACCTTACGGCAGCTTATACATATAAATTTTATTACATGTTAAATGGTGTAATAACATTTTAAAAAATACAAATAATGTGAATTAAATCAACACTCTTATCATTAGCAAATTTTTTTTAAAAAAATCAAATATCTGGCTTTTATAAATTATTTTATTTAAAAGTGAGTTAAGAATACTTTTATGAAATGATTTAAAAAACATTTCTAACAAAAAGTAGACTAAGTGCAGGCCAACATTGAGGGGAGCGTGGGCCCAGGTTCACGCATCCTAAGGACCTCACCAACCCCCGACCGGCTGGCAACCGGTTTCAAACAACATTTGCGATTTTGCATTCGCCTCACCGGTTCAACCCGGACTTCCGCAGTTTTATATATACCGCCATCTTCATTCATCTTCATCTCCAAGCTCTGCTTCATCTGTTAGACGACGCAGAGCATAATTCATCGAACAGTTCATAAGGGAAAGAAAGGTAGAGATTTGATCATTATCAATGGCTTCCAACGGACAAGAGAAGCAGCAAGGTGAAGCTGGAAGGCACCAAGAGGTTGGGCACAAGAGCCTCCTGCAGAGCGATGCTCTGTACCAGGTACTTTCTGCTTCTGCAACCAAATCTCAGAACATAAACCTTGTTCTGTTCTTATAAGGATATTGAAGGATTGGATTATGATGTTTCAGTATATTCTGGAAACGAGTGTGTACCCAAGAGAACCAGAATCCATGAAGGAGCTGAGAGAGATTACAGCAAAGCACCCCTGGTAATTAAGGCTAGCTTACTCAGTTGAAAGTTGAAACAACCCATGATTGATCTTCATATGTGTGTGTATACACTCCTCCGGTCGTTATTATATGGGACGTCTTGAATTAATTTTGATCTTAAATATAAAATCTATTTCTTATATTTATCAATTTTTTTTAAATTACCTCTATGGATACTTGCTTAACTATAATCAAGTAAAAGAATGAGGGATGATATTAAGAAAGATGATTATGGTGTTTTAAAAAAAATAGATCATATTCTTATAATTAACTAACTTACCTGATATTTTTTTAATCTAATCAAATCAGTTAAATAGGTTTTATACTAAAGACAAGAAACGTATGTTTGTGCTGGTTGATGAAATAGTGAAATGGAAAACAGGAACATAATGACAACATCAGCAGACGAAGGGCAATTCCTGAACATGTTGCTGAAACTGATCAACGCCAAGAACACCATGGAGATTGGGGTATACACCGGCTACTCCCTGCTCGCCACCGCCCTGGCTCTCCCCGACGACGGCAAGGTATCCACCATCCACCATCTCATCTCACTTTATTCCGCTTTATTGATCATTAATTTAATAGGAATAGAGAGGTAACCACCTTTATAATTAATGTGAATAATTTTTATTAGGCAACACAATTATATCTCATAAACAGTATATTTGCAAAGATTATGGTATTCCTCTTTTACTTGCTTTGTATTGGGAAAGAAAAACATTATATTAGGTCATTAGCAGGGTATTATTAAAAGAATAATATATATATTTTTCACATTTACCTTCAACCAATTTTCCCCATTTACTTTTTGTTTTTTTCCCCCCCAGCGATACTGACCTAATTTTATAAAATTTATTCTAAAAATAATTGCTGCATTTCAAGATATTTAAAAATGTGGTTGTGTGCGCGGTGCAGATACTGGCGATGGACATTAACAGGGAAAACTACGAATTGGGTCGGCCCACATTGGAAAAGGCTGGTGTGGCCCACAAAGTGGACTTTAGAGAAGGCCCAGCACTTCCTGTTCTCGACGAGCTCGTCAAAGACGTAAGCATCTTCCATTCTTCCTCTCCAAAATTTCAATCCAAATAAAAAAAATGAAATTGAAAAAAAAAAAGGAAAAAACAAAGAGAGGCTAAAACCGGAAAATGAAATGCAGGAGAAGAATCATGGCAGCTTCGATTTCATATTCGTGGATGCCGACAAGGACAACTACCTCAATTATCACGAGAGGCTCATACAACTTGTGAAGGTCGGCGGTGTGATCGGCTACGACAACACCTTATGGAACGGCTCTGTCGTGGCGCCGCCCGATGCGCCCTTAAGGAAGTACGTTATGTATTATAGAGAGTTTGTGCTGGAGCTCAACAAGGCTCTCGCTGTCGACCCTAGGATCGAGATTTGCATGCTTCCTGTTGGTGATGGAATCACTCTCTGCCGTCGGATCAAATGAAGAGTCCATTGATCATCACTAATCTTAAGTTCTAAAGTATATGTCTTCTGTCTTTCTCTGTGTAACTTTTACTTTTGTTCATACGGTGGGAAATGAATGAAACGAGTAATGTGTTTTGTAATAATATGAATATTATAAAGAAAATCATTTTATTATTTGATCTTGAAGTTTGATAGTTAGGATCTTCCTTCATATAATTATAATTAGGAATTTGGTATTGTAACGAAAGAAAACAACAGAGTCAAGCTCCTTAATTCCATTATTTTTATGCACCTCCCCCCCCCCCAAAATCTCTTACTGACTTCAAAATATCTCTACTAGTTTTTATTTGGAAAAATCCTAAAAAAAATGATTGTTGAATTTCAAAATTCTAAATTAAGAATTATTTTAAAAATGTGTTGTGTGACGTACAAAAAAAAAGAAAAAAAGAAAATATAATATTTTATTAATATAATATTTTATTAGTAAACCAAAAAAAAAAAAAAAAAGCCAACCCCCCTTCCACGGTGAGTTGAAAATTGGGGGGGGTTAATTAGTGAAGAAGGAAAAAGAAGGGGGGAGGGACGACTGCAGGAGATAGGATAAGGCGTAGGCAGTGGAAAAAATTGAACCTGGGGCTATTAAATACATTCACCCCAGATGATTCTCAAGTGGAGGGAGCAGACGGAAGAGGAAGAGAGCAAAAGAAGAGAGAAGAGAGAGAGAAGCATAGAGAAAGAGAGAGAGAGAGCCGAGTTGTAGAGTACCTGACGGTTTTGGAGATCATTTAGGTACACAAAACTACTTCTTGTTATCATATTTTCTTTATGAATATTTCCTATATATTTATAGCTTTATATTATTAGTATCATTATCATGTTTAGAGAAAATTTTACCGTTTGAGTATAAAGTAAATATGGAGTTTTGACAATATATGACCGTAGAAATTTAAAGATCAATTATTAAGGAATTTTAATCAGTTTATTTTTGTTGAATGATTACTTTGAGAATTTTAAACTAAGATTTTAGTTGAAAAATTTGTTATTTAGACTTGTAATATGTTTTTACCGATTAAATTTGAGTTAAATAATTTATTTGAGTTATTTAATATATTATTGAGGTTTTAATCGGTTTAAATATTGAATAAGTTAAAGATATATTGTTGAAATAATTTTTGAAGGCTTGAAAAATTATAAATTGAGAATTTTGTAAAATTAAATAAAGCTACCGTTTGTTTATAATTAAATATATATATACTTTTGTTAAATTTGAATAGCCTTATATGTAAATTATTTTTCAAAATAATATCTATTATAAATGCCTAGATTTGGGAGAGTTAATATATTTATGTAATTTTGGTTTAGAGGGTAGTTTTAGAATTTTAGAGTAGCTTTAGAGTAGTTCTGAGTTTTTATTAATAAATATTTATGTGCAATTTTGTAGACCCTTGAGATTTTGAAGTAATCCTTGTGTGAATATTTGTAAGCTAAAGAGTACCAGGTAACTCTGAAAATTCTTTCTTGTACATGTGAATTGTGTATGATTATATTGTGAATTTACTAATTATTATATTCCTGAAATATAATATTATGATTTTTGTAAAATAAATGTTTTGGTATGTTACATGATTTTATTAAGATTTGTTGCTAGTAATTATGATCAATATTTAAATATATTAATAGCTATGGAATTATCATGAGTTGATATTAAATGGTATATAAGTTTTATTGCTATCTTATTTTTAATATATTTGAGGACGTATTTGTGATGTAATATTATTGGCATTTGACATGCATTTTTGGGCTAAGAATAGAAGGAGATTGCATGGATATAAAATTACCACGTGGTATGCCATCACTCAGTGCACAGTGGATGGCACTTGTCAGGGGCCCTTCTTCCATGTTTTCCTTTGGCCGGGAATTCATTGGAGCTGTGGGACATGTGACACCTCCCTATTCACAAAGGAGGGGAGCCATAGTCCGAGCTTGAACTCTATATCTTTGGCCGGATATATCTCTAGTATCGGTGAGCTTGGAATAATTCAGTAAAATGGATTAGTTCCTATCGGACTATGTGTTAGCCTATGGCTCCAGTCAGCGGTATAAGGGTGGACGGTGATATAAGGGAGGCAGCATATTGCATTATTTTTGGATATATTAGAAAAATGATATTGGTATCTTGTTGGGAAAAAAATGAAATTGAGTTGGATGTTTCAAATCCGTGATTTTTAATATATTTATACACACATAAACAGATTTTTGGTTTATCATATATGATTTGCTTGTATAGGTTAGAATTTCAGTAGTTACTGAGACGTTAGATCTCACCCCCTATATTAACAATTTTTCAGGCGAAGGATCTAGTAGGAATCAAGGGAAGGCACCAATGGAGTGAGCCGTGAAGGCTTTTGTGCTCCTCAAGCACATGCTATGTTATATTTTTATTTGCCATGACTATAAGACTTTAATAGTTTATGTTGTTAAGTGATGTTAGAAATGTTTTGAAAATTTTGACTTATTTGCAGTATTAAAAATATGTATGGACTTTTAAATTAAATATTTTATCGAGTATATTGATATAATTACGTGAGGTGTTACATGTTGCCATTTGTTTTTGGGTTAATTAATCCGTAAGTCCTTATAATTTCAACAAATTTTGAATCAGGTCCCTATAGTTTTTTTTCTTTTTATTAGGTCCTTATACTTTTGCCTTTTTTTAATTAGGTCCTTGTATTTATTTTTCTTTTAATTAAGTCCTTATAATTTCACTAAATTTTTAATCAGGTCCATGTAGTTTTAATTTTTATTTATTAATTAAATATAAGCTTAATTAAATAGATTAATACTGAAATATAAAATATTAATAATTAAATTAAATTAATAATTATGTAATAAAAAAGTAATAGAATTAATTAATTTAGGAAATTTTTTTAGAACAATTAATTTTTTTGCTGAAAAAATTAAAATCATTATAATAATTCAATATCTTTAGAATATTATTGTTTATAAACTAATATTAAATAATATATACTATTTTATGTTTATATAATAGTACTATTAGAATTTATAAAATAAAGAATAAAAAATTCAGGGACTTAATTAAAAATAAGGTGAACTTATAAGGACTTGATAAAAAGAAAAATAAATACAAGAACCTAATTAAAAACAGATGAAGGTATAAGGACCTGATAAAAAGAAAAAAAACTATAAGGACCTGATTCAAAATTAGTTGAAACTATAAGGAGCTGTGGATTAATTATCCCTTTGTTTTTCATGTGTAGTTATTCTCTTTACGAGTATAGTAACTAATATTGATTTGAAATTTTAAAATTAGACAATCTTTTTATGGGATTTTTTCTTTTTATTTTGTAGAATACAAATTCAAAAGAAAAATTAATGAAATAAGACAATACCGCCTTTCTAATGTACTACTATATGTCACTTGGATTTGGGTATTTTGAAACTAATAGTTCATAGCATACATATGGGTAGTAGTGTTCAACTTATCTTATCTCGATTCTTCGATAGGACAAAAAAAATTTGGAGCGGAACAAAATAATGACTAGAACAGGACGCATGACGGGTAGTCCCATCCAGGATTTTTTAAAAAAATTACTTATTAATAATTTTTATTAGGTTTTTCAATTCTTTTTTAAGAGTAATTATTTTTTTTTATAGTGAACTTCAGTTATTAAGTGGTAATACTATCTCTAATTTTTAATACAAGACCTTATTTGACTTTTATTTTGATGCTTAATATAATATGTAACATCTTAATTTTTATTCTAAGGATTTAAATATTTAAAAACTAAAAAAAGGGTTCCCAACTGTTATTTCTTCTGTTTTAAAGAGGTTTGTTAACCTTAGTTTACCCCAAATGTTTTTTTTTAACCGCCGCCCCTCGTCATTTTCCTTTTCCCCCCTCTCTCCATGTCCGTCGCAGGGTCGCTCTCTCTCATATTTCTTTCTCCACTGTTACAAATCATTTTGGTAAGGAAACTACTTCTAATTATAAAAATTTCTTTATAAAAGTTGTTATACTCAGTTAGATTTACTTAATAATAGTAATTTTATGTTGCTTAAAGAAAATTTTTGGTATAGGGTTTAGAACAAATATTTAGTTTTGATGAGTGTTAACCACAATATTGTAGATCTATTATAGTAGATCATTTTTATCGATTTAGATTTATCCATTTATTAATTTTAAACATGATATATCTCATAAATAACATATCTTTTAACTAAAAATTAATTTTTAAATATTAAAATTAACAAATGGACAAATCTAAATTGATAGAAATGATACACTATAATAAATATATAATATTATAGTTAACACTCATCAAAACTAAATACTTGCTCCAAACTTTATATTAAAAATTTTTTGTAAGCAACACAAAATTACTATCATTAGATAGATCTAACTGATTAGAACAATTTTCATGTTGAAAGTTTTGTAATTAGAAATAATTTTACTTACTTAAATGATCTGTAACGGTGGAAAAAGAAACAGGAGAGAGAGCGACGCTGCCACGGACATAAAGAGAGAGGGGAAAAGAAAAATGACGAGGGGGCGACCGTAGAAAGAAAACGTTGAGGGTAAATTGAAATTAAAAACCCTATTTAAAACTGAAAAAATAGCAGTTTGAACCCCATTCTTTTAATTTTTAAATATTTAAATCTTTAGAATAAAAATTAAGATGTTAGATAAAACTTCAATTTATTTTGTCTCTCATATTTATTTTTTAAGATAGTCTTTCTAATAATGATAGTTCTAACTAATACATTTGATTAACAAGGATATTTTAGAAAAGACAACACCTATTTATTACAAATAACTAACTTAACTTATTTTCTTAATCTACTCAAATTAGTCAACTAGCTCTTATATTTAGGACCGAAGGTAGTATTATCTCAATAAAATCTTCTTCTTCAATAAAATAATTTATAAAAATATTATATAGTGTTTCTTTTATGGTAATTCTTTTTTTACAGTATTGTTTTTACTCTTTTTTTATATTATATAATTAGCTTTTTACATAATATTTTTTTTAGTGTTTTTATCTTCAGAAGTCTAATGAAAACCAAATATTACAATTAAAAAAAGATTCAAGCCCAAATTTTATTGGTTTGTAAAAAGAACATTGAAATGAACATTAGGACCAAGACAACCTGAAGACGAGACATATGATGGAAA